TTTTCTCTACCGAATCAGAATTGCAAACGTTCGCCCTTCTTCGACAGCGATCAACCGACCTCCTATTGGCAAGTTTCCACCATCGACATTATCCATTAACCATATTTTTAGAACAGTAGATTGGTTCATCGAATTATCCTCCTTATCGTTCGCACATGGAAAGGTATTTGGAGGCTGTCACGAGACACAATTTCTGCAATAAAAATTGACCTCTTTCAGCCCCAAATCCCGGTTCATTTCCCAAAACTATACTTCTAAGTCACTGATTTCTTCGGTGAAGTGGTTACCGTGTAATTTTACAACACTCGAGCAGATCGCTCATTGGGACTGACATTGATCATCAGGCCCCCCTACAAGCAATTCTCTTTACTCCGTATACAAAAGTTAGTCGATTTAATAAGCCTCATCTAGTTGATTTTGAGCCGGTATGCTTTGGCTATGAGTACAGAGCAGATAATAAGATTCGATCATGACGCAATCAACGAAGCATCGTAGGATAGGTGAAACTCGAGAGCGGAGAAATGAAATATTTCACGGGGTTGCAAAATATGATGAAACTGACCCTCCTCTACGCATCTGTTGGGGCCAATTTTTTAGGTGGAGAGAAATTGCTGCCTTTCACGTATTACAAATATATCCACTGTTTAGTGCCCAATGCTCGAAGGTCTGGTGGCCCCTTGACTTGACCTGGCCAGCAATATTTTGGAGAACCTCGAATCTGGTCGGAACGCAGTTATCAACAAGCAGCAATACGTGTACAATTGTACATCACTCTTATCGCCTCCACCAGCTCCAACAACTATTTTACATCTACTGCCTCTATTGTCAGTATCCCAGAAGCCCTCCGCGTCCATTTTTTTTACAACTAAGAAAGAGGCGCGCTGGAGCACCCTATACCAGTTCTCAGCATCCTCATCGCCAACCCTCTGCTCAAGACTAGTTTAAACATCTATCCAACTCTCCGTGAAACAGGATCATCAGCAACTTGAGGGGTTTGCTGGCTGTGGCAGCACCGATTTTGGTCACATGGATGGTAGCTCTATGTCAATTACCAAGATCCTAGTTTGTACAGGCTCTAATTGAACGTTGTGAAAGCAGCAATGCCTCATAAAACTTGAGTAATACATAAAACCCCCCTAACCACACTTCTTTAATATAAACTTTCTTGGCCACACAAAACTTTTCACTTCCCATCTCCCCTTCAACACCTAATGGGTACAAAAGAGGGTAGAGGATGATGGAGGATGTTAATGCGTTAATACCGCGTCATCCGAGTCCTGAGCACCGGGTTGCCTCCCCATGGCCCCTCTTGCACACACTCTAGTTCCACCTCACTTGGTTTTAGGGTGAACCACTAAATAGAGGAAGGCCATAAATGCTGATTGGTACTTTTTTTTTTTTAATATCCTTTATTTTACATCGCTTTCAACAGCAGAGGTTTTACGCAACAAGACTGGCTATGGATGAGTGGAACTATAGATATTTGCTATTTGCTATTTTTGATACGGGTATTTGTTAGGGAGAAATGGAACTCGTGGTTACAGATCATTGATTGGTACTTAGAAGTTAAAACTGGGCCAAATTTAAAACAAAAACACAGACATTGAACCAACTTCCTCCCACACAAAAGCCCTGAATTGGTATTAGCATGTAAATAAATCATCATTTTAAATAAAAAATTGAACATTGAGATAGGTACATATGTATAATACTTGTTCATTTGATCAAAAGTTGCACCTTCTTCATTTCAATTTCCTGGCCCTCTGTTTCAACTTATGGTAATAAAGACTGTGAGGAGACAAATCCAATATTCAAATGTGCTGCAGGATTTGAGCGAATTGAACCAATCTTGTAGAAATTCGCCTATTTTAATACTGGGATTATGATTGGAGATGTACCGTGAACTGGGAGAATATTGGATAGTTTTGGGGTGATTCCGGACACCCATATTTTTGTGTTAGATAATAATTTGACACTGGCGCATAGCAGAAATATTACAAAATTACGAACTTTGGTACCCACCAAATTTTGTGGTATTTCTGCTGGGGGCGCTCGCGTCAAATTATTGGCACAAAAATCTAGTAGGTATCCGGTATAGCCCCAACTGTTCCATATTCCCCCAGTTCACGGTACACCACTTGTTCAAAAACTCAGATTTGTGGACATTGAAATACATAATGTACATACATCGAGGACCACAATTTCTAAAATAGGAATAGCCGTTCACTGAGTGGAAGTTTCCTAATTCAAAAGTTTGAAGAAAATATCTGATTTTTTTTCATTTATCAGTTATATGCAATTTCAGTCCTACACTGATAGTTACAAACAACCAAGAAAATTTTCCGGACATAACTTTACGTATTTGCAAGGAGATTCGATTATACGAAGAAAAGTATTGTTCCTTAAAGATTCTTTAAAAAAATGCAACCCATTTTTTTCCTTTACAAGGTTCTATAAAAAATGGTCTTTCACGAGACAAAAAAGTTACATATTCTCAATTTTTTTGCACATTTGTGAAATGCGCAAAAACAGGATTTACGAATCGACAGGAAGTTTTTTTATTTCAAAATTTCTGTTTGAAAAAACTTGAATCCAAGAAGTTCTACAGACTAATCTATTCATTCTGTGGCTGCTGCAAACGGCAACAGCAGTTTTTCAATGAAAAAAAAAATGTTTCATTACCACAATAAATTACAAGAGGAACAATTTTATTCGTAAATGTCTTCTTTTAAAAACAATACTTTTCATAATACAGTCGTATATATTCAAACATTAAGACACAGTTCCATTCAAAAATTTAGTTTTTAGCTCATAATCAAGCCTCAAAACTGGTAAATCTAAGAGAAAAAAAAGGAAAAACACTAAAAATAAAGATATTAAATTTTTAGAAAAATGGTACATTAGAAATGAAAACATAATTACGACCAAAATATGTTTCATATAACGTGAAATTCAAGCCGCTGACCAACTGACAGAAATGTTAGTCCTTTTTCTTTTTCTTGTCGCTACTCCTCGGGCATGACCTCATGAGAGAGTAACTTAAAGGAGACAAAACAAACGAAGAATTTTCACGCGACAAAAAAAAGGGAGGGAAAGGAAATACATGTGAAAAGAAATTCATGATTCAAACTGAACAAACAATGCAAAATTGATTAGTGCATCTTGATTCCATTTACGAGTATATCAACTTTGAATAAAGAAAGGTCATCCATCATTTTCAACTTCCAGTCGGACAGGTTCTATTCAATTATGCGTGATTGAAAATAACAATATTATTACAAGGAAAATGTTGGACTCGAGAGCTCCTCCAGAAAATGCATTTAAATAAAAATTCTTTCCATCGAAATGAGATATTCTAACGAACCTGTTTCTAAAGGAATTTTTCTCAAGACGTGAGATTAATAACGATCAAAATGATAGTCTCACTTGGAAATTCTAAACCGAGATCCAATGATCCTGTGTAAAACTTTTGAATTAACAGGAAAAATAGGAGCTAGTTATCTTAATTAATGAACAACAAAAATGGGGAGGTATCAACACTGTACCTCTTTTTCTTTCGATTATGAAAGAAATGAAAAAAATCTCATGATGAGAAAACTATGAGCATAATATCGAAAAGGGAAAAAAAATCGATGACTTCTTTTTCTCCGACAGAAAAATAACGAACGATTAATTACATTATACAAAAAATTTGTAATCCAACAAAACCTCATATTTCTCTCATTCCAGCTCAATTCTCTTCATTTCATATAATAGAAAGTAAAATTAATAACAACATCGTCGATTAATTGCGAATATTATATAATATTAATCGGGAAATAAACTTGTAATGTACTCGCATGTATATAGGCAAATAGTAAGGAAATTACAAAATTAAATTATAAAAGAAAATTAAAAAAATAAGAACGTAAAAACTTATGTACTTGTAACAAAACAACTAGTCATACATTGAAAAGAGAAAAAAAATTAAGTAATTACTTTTCACATATTTAAGACCAAGTAAATACGATAATATAGACAACATTAAAATACACTGAAACAAATAGTGACACAAAAATTTTGAAGGACGCACTTGACAAATTTCATCATCCTGAATTACTCGATTCTTCATCTTCACTGACGTCGTGTTCCGCGTACCTTTTCTACAATGAAGAAACAGTCAAAGATGAATTAATCTAACTGACTGGGAGAAGAAGCAAAGTGAAATGATTACAAAGAAAAAAGTCTATTAAAAAACAGAAACATAATTGTTAAGATTTTTTTTAAAAAAAAGATCAAGGGTATGCTCCAGTAGTTCAATTTTTGTGCCAAAAATTATGAGATTTTGATACCTGTTTCTGAGCTGAATTTTCATCAGAATTCGAAGATATTTCAATATGTCGTTGATTGATACTAGATTTTTATTCATCAATTTCTTATGACTGAAATTTCAATTTCAATGCAATTAACGTTTATTAATTTTTACATAATACACTAGGTTTGTTTCCATGCTTCCAGAAAAACTGGATTTTCAGTTTACTGAAATCTGAAAACTGACAAAACTGGATATGGTGAAATGTCAGCAGAAAATAGGGTGAAAACACAAATCTGATAAATCTGACAAAAATCCTCAAAAATCTGAATAAAGTGTTACACCCTTTCCTCACCTGTCAACTTTTCAGAGTTCACTTCACTTTGCTGAATATTTAATCAGTCCAGACCAGACTGATTGAAAACTGAAATTTCAGAATATTCAGATTTCTGAACTCTTAAAATTCAGCAAAGCGTGCAAACAGCTTTCAGTTTTTTCAGTT